CGGAAAGAATAAACCAGTTTTATTTAAGAAAGGACTTGTGTCGCTCAAGTTTCGTCGGAACGAATTTACGGAAAATCAATTAACAAACGGAGACGTAACAGTATGTTTTTTTTCTTAGCTATTTCATGAAAATGCATAATTTATTACAATGTATATAAATTCCAGTGAGAAAAACACTTTGCACAAAGTTGGTCATCTGGTATATTGAATATTAATTTTTTATTTCTTTCACTTTTAGATAACACTGTGAATGCTACATTTTACATGCTGAATTGTATTGAAGTCATCAATGGTAGACAGTCTCAAAGAAGGTGTAACACATATGCTTCAGAGAAAATTAATAATGTAATATATGTATACAATGAATATCTTAGAACCTTTTTAACTAAATGTTCCAAAAAAGTCAGTGAAGAGAGAGTAGATTCTACAACTACAAATCAGTTTATCACTAAAACTGGTGTGTCTTCAGTTTAATCTGAGGATTAGAATGAATATTAATAATAATCCTATTTCAGTAAAATGATTTGATATTTTATAATCTCTTCAGCGAATGTTTCATCTTCATGTGGGTGAGGCAGATGTGTAATGAAAGAAGAAATAAGATGATGAAGGTTCATACTTGTACTACGAGGTTAAACCTGCATAAGAAACTACCTTTATACAGAGATCACCAGTTTAGAATGGTCATTTGTTATTAGTCTTATTTAATTTAAACCATTTGCATAGTGAATCCACCTTTAACTAAACTTTTCTATCCAAGTATAAGCTTTTAATGAATGTATGGAATCTCATAATCACATGGGGTGGTATTTAAATCTATTTTTGCAAAAAAAAAATCTGTGTTCTACGTTATATCATTTTTTTGACTGCTGAATTGAAGATGCCTTGATATTTCTGTATCCAATAAAAATATATTTCTTTAATATGGGTGTATCTCTTTTCAATTAAAAGAACTGTCTAAAAACTTTGTTTTATCAAAAAATTTTTTTACTAAAATTAATATTTTTTGATGCTTCTACATGCATCAGAATTTAATGATGTCCTTATAACCAATATTTCATCAATTTAACCTAATTACAATCATCATTGACACACTCATTTCTGTTGAAATATTAATAAGTTTTAAATTTATTTATTTACATTAACAAACTTAGAAAATTCAGAGTAAGCGAATTCCAGGTCTCTTAATGTCCCACACGAGAGATAGATTATAAAAGACATTGGGATTGTTCTATTTATAAGTTCACACTAGCTGAAGTATTTAAAGAATTCTTATACGTCAGTTTCTTAAATGCATATAAAAAAATTAAAGTTAATGAATATTTTCTGTTAGGGTTGGAAACCTTTATAATAGAAAAATCTCTAAAAAAAATAGGCAGCCAGTTTTACATTTACCCAAAGGTGGTCTTAAAACATCGGTTTTAATGTACTGTCTACTCAAAATGATAACAACACAGGCCTGCGATGGTTTTATTGTCTTGAAATTTTTACATGTTCTACAGTAATTCCTGTACATTGAATCCGAAAATGATATCCATTTTTCTCCATCACTTACAGACTTTTCACAAAACGTCATAATGCAATACATAAAAGAAAGACCACAACAAGTAGTTTTGAGACTAAAAGATGTAGATTTCACAAAAAAAAAACAGGATGAATGATGATGCATATTTGTTTGACATCAATGTTCTTCAATTTTCTTCAGTTTGTTTGTATTGTTGTTAACAAACATAATAATAAAAAATGTTCATTGTGGTAAACAAAATAATAATTTGATCTCAGTAAGAGTTTTTTCTTCGCAATTTGTAAAACATCCTTACGTAATAGAAAAAAAATTAATATTATTTTCGAAATCTGCATAGCTGAACTATGGAAAATCCATTATTAAAACCAAAACAACTTTTATGAAGTTTAAATTATTGGGCCTGTGTTATCAGTCATTGGTCTACATTTTTAATCTCTTATTAAAAAAAAAAAAAACCTGAAGAACTTAATCTAATTTTTGTTATTCTAATGTACACTATTTATGATTAACAGAACTGGATTTAAGACTTAAGAAATTTTATCACAAGGCTGGCAGAAGTGGTAGGGTTAAAGCCCTACCATATTTTAGGCTAGTGATCACATGACTTTATAAATTTTATGGAACAATAGAGTAAAGAATCTTACTAGTTTTATATAATCTATGTATATATATATATATATATTTTATATAGACACACACACACACACACACTTGATGGCCCTGTCAGCAAAATGTAGCTTCCTCCAGGCTTTATCATTCAATAAGAAATCCCCTCACTACAAAATATACTTCATTTGATTGTACTAAAGACGAGACAAATAAAATAAAACCATACACTGAGGATAAAAACATACCTAGTATGAACAAGTATAGAAAGTTACACTACACAGGAAAAACTGCAATCACTAAATGTTCAACCTTGTACATAGTATCGATACACTAAATATCCCATTCCCAACAGTAAGACTGCACCTATAGAACATTTCTTTAATAACAGCTTGTGCCTTTCCCATGACTCTGAATCTTGTAGTTTCTGCCGCATTTTTTGGACAGTTTCTGCAGTTTTATCTATACGTTCCTTGCGTTTTCTTTTTCGTATTTCTGAATCACTAGACAGATATACCAATTTAAAAGAAATTAATACATGTAATTACTTTTAAGGGTAACTCTTTAGAGAACCAACACACTTTAAATTACTTACATAAATAAAATACCAGAAGCAACTGGAATAACATGTCATTTTGAAGATACATTTCAATCTCAAAAACAGTCTCTAAAAAATTAAGACTTAACTAACTGTATCTCAATACAAACAAAATAATTTCTCTAACTGTATAGGTAAACATATACATTTTATACCACAGCTTTATAACATTTAACCAGAAGATCAGTACAATCACATAAAAAAAAATTAATTTTCATGGAATTTAAAATGAAAGCATGCAAGACTTGGAAAGTTACTCACTTCACGTTCTTCTCAGTAGCTGATGACAAATTTGCAATAGACACAGTATTATTTGTTATAGTTTCATCTTCCTCGGCAAACTCAGTATTTTTTGGTTCTTGATTAGCCGTGTCCAAAGACGTTAAGCTACTAACTGTCCTCTCAGATATGTACGATAACTTCCTTTCTTCCAATGTGTCAGATGACGGTTTATTTTGTGGAATCAGTGGCAATGGTTCTGTTTCATCCCAATCATTTTCAGAAACCCCTTGGTTTATTTTACTTTCTGAAACCTCTTTCACAACTTCCTTTTTGAGAAATTCAGTTTTTCTTTTTACTCCCTTGGGCTCATTACTACTAACGGTGTTGACTTGCTCATCTTCATGCTGTCCATCCTGATGAAAAAATACTTTACTGAAAAATTAACAAACAGGTTATGAAAGACATTTCCTTGATGACAAATACTGAACATACAACAAAAGGGTTACGTTCCAGTCCCAATTACAGTCTGAAATATTGACCACTTAATTATTTTTCCCTACAGCAATTTTAACTAAGTTTTTTCTTTTATTTTCAGCCTTTATTAGGTTGTAGCTGCAGTTGTTTGACATTTCTCTTTAAGAGTGATAGGGTACAGAAAGATTCTTGGATTCCCGATACTGTAAATAAAGTTCAAAAAATAAAATTTCAAGAAAAATAACTGTGTATAACAAGAAAAAAAAAAGAGTTTAAGTAGTTTTGTAAGCATTTTCAATCACAGAAAAATGTACAATTATTCAAATATCAAGTCTAAAACCTTTTCTTTATTATGACTGAAGCATTTGTTACAGCTTAAAAAAAAATATATATATGTATATATATGATACCGTAAACCATTTGTGTATTATCAATGTCTTCCTGAAAATAATTGATAGCTAAGAACTTTGATGAAAAAGAAATAAAATATACTATTTCTAAGTTTTTATTTATTTTTTACAAATCAAAGGGTACTACGCTGTGAGATGTTGTTCATGTTTTTGGTAAATTGGTGTGTGAAAGAAGTTTAATCTTTAGCAGAAGAAATGTCTTGTCACCTACCAGTTTTTAGTAGACAAAGTAAAAAAAATAAAATCATAGGATTGCACCTACAAATTTGACACAAACAAAGAAATAAAATCTGATGACGAGGAACCCACTTTGAGACTAATAATGGTTGGAGATGGCTTGAATGGATGATGAAGAAAAACTTTAATATAAGTTTAATGCAACAGCAAATGTACAACGTTTCGACAAGGTTTTGTCGGGTACCTGATGGTGACAAAACCTTGTCGAAATGTTGTACGTTTGCTGTTGCGTTAAACTTATATTAAAGTTTTTCTTCGTTACCCATTCAAGCCGTCTCCAACCATTAAAAGAAATAAAATAGTTTTAGTGAGAATACTCATGAAATAGTATTTCTAATTAGTTAAATACTTCTTCAACAAATACTTCAGAAGCACTGTGAAAGCACAAATGTTCAAGTGTAACTTTTAATCTCAATAGCTCCTTAAAAAGTCTTACATTACATTTTGGGTAATTTTATAAAGTTTTCCATTTAATTGTAACCTCTCTTTTTTTGTTTAATCCATTTTGATGTACATTAAATGTTTAAGTTAAACAAATGTTTCTTTCTTATTTCTAGTGTCAGTTTACACTTTAAATGGACTTCATAAGCTATTAGAGAAGACAGTCAATAAAACTCAATTATTTCTTAATACCTTTTTTACACTCTTTATGGGCATTTTCAGTTAAAAACCATATAATTTCTGGTTTTTTCAATGCAGTTAAAAGTTAATCAAGTCCCTACAATCGTATTTATATCTTACTTCAAATGAGAAGAAAGACTTATCGTATTTGCCGGTGTATAAGACAATACTTTTTACTCTTAAAATAATGCCTGATTTTAGCCCTCATCTTATACACAAGTACAAAGGTAGTTCCAGTAAGAACTCTCCGGTTAATAGCATATTTAACCAAAACTACGTTGTTCCATTTTTATAAACATGAAATAAACAACTTTACAAAGTCTTCATCACATTTGAACTCCTTTTCTGTCACACCAAAATATTAAACCTTAAGATATAGTGATCTACTATAAAAATATATTTACAAAATTAGCGTACGTTACAGAAACTAACTTTTTATATATAATATTATCAATATTTTATGATGACGGATGAGATCAATACATTTCAAATCAAAAATGACTTGATTAATTGTAACTAGCATGTGAGATAAATAACTTCTGGTTAGGAAGAATAGAGACAAATGATACAATTATAAATATGTTATTGTACCCCAGTAGGTGGCATGATGCCAACACGCTTACTCAAAAAAAGCAAATAAAAATCATAAGTTATACCACATTGAGCTGTCTGTAGCATTTGGAGAGCATAAGAACCACACTTGTGGTTGTATTGATTACCACAGAGCACAGTTTAAAAATAACTTCCAAGAATTTCTTTTCAAAAGTAACATCCTAAACTTGCTTAACAATAGAGGTCACCTTATACACCAAACCTCACAGATATACACGCAATTTGCTAAAAATATCCGGGGTCGTCTTATACACGGGACTGTCTTGTACACCAACAAGTACGGTAATTTCAGTTATCAGAGTGATAATGAAGATATATCTTATGGGTAACTAAACTATTTTCTCCAGTGGAACAAAATTCACTGTATAACTAAAATAAATCACTGTTATGAAAATGTCTCAGTAACTTTTTACTTAAAAATAATATATTTAAAAAAAATATATATAAACAAGTTTATAACTGGTGTGTGAGACAAACTTTACAGATAAAAGAGCCTACTAAAGAGACAAGTAATTAATGCCAGTACAGAAAAAAAAAACAGTCAAATAAAAGGAATAAATAAAAGTATCTGTCAAACTCTTAACCGTACCACTGTATCCTAATGTTTCTCAGGAATAGTTACACACGGTCTGTGTGGTAAACCATAATGAGAAGAATGACATATGATGGATTTTACTATAGACTGCTAATATAAAAATTGTTCTCATTGTTAGTAGACTATACAGTCACTTAATAATAATTAATAATTAGTAACTAAATTTTTGTAATACAGTCATGTATGTGTGTGTGTATATGTATATTTTTACGTAGGTTTATTTTTAATTTATAACTAGATACTAATTAATTCCTAATTATAAATAACAAATAAATAAATATATATTATGAAAAACGTAGTTAGTAATTAATAATTACAATTATGTGATCATATAGGTACTAATGATGACAAAGATTGATGTTCAATCAACACAACCTTACCATATTTACTTAACATTAAAAGAGTTTACAAACAAGTCATTTAGCTTCATGCTAAAACTTATAATCCATAATCCTGGTATCATTGATACACAGAGATAAAATAAAGTGACTGACACAGAGAGGAAAAGGTTAAGACATGAAGAAAACATTATTTGTACTTGCTGGATTATGAATTAAAAGAAAATGGTAAATTTTGTAAAGGAAAAACATCAAATTTTAACAGTTTCATCAACTATTTATTGTAACTAAATTTTCTGAACAGTGACCTATGTAAGTTGTTTAGCGCAATTCCAGATATTCAAATTAACCTGGAGACAATTTAAGAAATGTTTCCTCCTATTTTAGATTTTGTGAGAGAAAGATAAAGACAAAAAGATTACCAGTGAATTCTGATGATGGTCAGAAAGCACATTTTCTGAAATATTTTTACGCCTAGCTAAGACCTGCTTGGCACCTTCAATTATAGCAAGGTACGAGAAGCGTAGCTGATCTGGTGTTTGAATGAGGCCCATACGATATTTTCTCATTTCTAACAAGATTTCTTGTACATTCACTGCATCTAAATTTCCCCTTTCTTCAATCTGTATGCAAATCAATATTGGTTTTTCACTATATTTTTCAACATTTCATGAAAGAAAATACAAAAGTTTAATTCTGAACAAGAAAACAACAACAAAAATTTAAGTAAATTTTTTCACCATGGTGATTTGTCAGAATACCTTGAAAAACAACTAAGCATTTTTCATTATAAAAAAAAAAAGGCACTTGAAAATCTAATTCACGGATATAACACAGAGAATTTTAGCACTTGATAGCATTCAATAGTGACTCAAAACTTATCATTATAAAAAAATATTTTAAAAAGTCACAATTTCACTAAAAAAAGGCATATAATAATAGAGAATTTTAATTCCTTCCTGGTAACTGATACAAACGTTCATATAAAGCCTGAAGTTTTTTACACCTAGAATTACAAACCTTGACAAACTCATAAATTATCAAAACACTTCTGAAGTGCAGTAAATTATAAATAACTTTTCTTTAACATAAAAATACCTCTTACTGGTTTAAAAAGGCTTAGTTTATGGACTGTTTACAGATATATATGCTAAGCTCGATGTTAGTGATAGTTTAAGCCACTGAATAACTTAAATTAATGTATTTGCGCCTGACTCTTTTGAGCTTCATAACATTTTACAGAGTTACATTTAAAATCTAATCAAATAGTTTTATTATCAATGTATGTCAATGAAATGAGTATCAGAAAGTAGTTTATAATTACAAATTTTATATTATCTAAGTTTTAATTTCTTAATTTCAAAAGAAAATATTAAAAAAATTCTCAATCTTCATATTTACTGTCATGTGACATATGAGTGGTGAATTTTCAATTCTCACCTTGTACTATATATATCTTCAACTGTATAGCATCTACACTGTCTAAGTTATATAGACACGCCCTACAATCAATTCTAAGGTCAGATGTACAGTTTCAATGTCTTAGCTTTTCTGTTTAGCAAGATATCATTCAATTTTCCCAACCAATCACAGAAGCCCTATCAATCGATTCTTAACTTTCAAGTCAAGGTAGTTTTCAAACCCACATGATGTTATTAGACATACATATTTATAATCAACAAAAAGAGTTTACTTTTTTATTTCAAGCTTGCAATGATCCAAACAGACATTAGATTAGTGGGCGTGTTGGTAATGAAGTATACGTTCATAGGATTTAAAATTTTTTTAAACTTTTTTATGGCTTTGTTAAAAAAAAAATAACTAAATTACAGTTGCTTTCGGAGATACTACTTATGTATTATGTTTCAAAATGCTTACTTGAAAGGCTCACAAATGTTTTTTCATCAAAGAACTTAGAAGTAATTTTAACCTATTAATTTTGGTTGACATCATATGATGCAAATATTTTGAATGGCCTGCCACAAAAATTTTCATATCTTTACACATGGGGTGGTAGACATCTTTACACATGCCGCAAACAAAGGGTTAATAAGGGTTAGCTAGCTAGGCTCCGAGTGCAAAACTTCATTCGTGAAGTAGGTGCACTTAGAGGAATCTGTTAATGTTTTTCCACTTTGACATGTTATTTTTTATGGATGAATAAGCCAGGCAATAACAGTATAAAATAAAAAATAAACTATATGTGAAAAGGTATAAATTCTCTTCTAAATAAATGTTCAAAATATATCAGAATAATTTTGAGATTTTGATAATTCTTGGGTCATGGAAAGGGGGAAAAAAGGGGAAAGGACACAAACTTGGGTAGGAAAAGGAGAATAAGAAAAAAAAATGGGAAGTAGAAAATTAGGGTTAAGGAAAACTGTATGTTGGCTATTGAAAAATTAGGAAAAAATTTTAGGAGCCTTATTTGAGGGTGTGAAAAAACTATAATTTTTGGAAGAATATATATACCCACAGACTCTGCTTATAGACCCTGCAGACATTATAAATGGTCCCAAGGCTCAGAAAAATTAGTGACCTGATAAAAGTTCTTTAAATTAGGACCTGTTTGAACTTTGCTGCTATTTGTTAACTGTATGGTATTTATTCAATATTACTTTTTTAACAGTACTTTTGGTAATACTTTTTTTTAATTATTGATTATAATTTTTTAGATATTGTGATATCAAGTGATAACTGCCACAACCAGTTCCAAGCCTGGGTGAGAAAGTAGGAGGTTTGCCATCAGAACTTGCAACCCGGCCATAAAAACCTTGCAAAACGAATATCTAGAAGAATCACATGGTATGCCACCTGGACCCTGAAGAAGAATAAAGAAGGCTTGTTGATAAGAACAGTTTGTTTGTTTGTTTGAATTTATGCACAAAGCTACACAATGGGCTATCTGTGCTCTGCCCACCACGGGTATCGAAACCCGGTTTCTAGCATTGCAAGTCCACAGACATACCACTGTGCCGCGATAAGAACAGAAATGGAAATGCTGAGATGGCTGTTGGAAGTATCGCTGAAAGAGAAGAGAATAAATAAGGAAATGGCAGGAGTCTGTGGAATTGTGGAAAAGGCAAAAGAAGCAAGTCTAAGGTGGTTTGGTCATGTGAAGGGAAGAGAAGAAGAACAACAATAAGGAGAGCATTAGAGCTTCCAGTAGTAGCAAGAGAAGACAAGGAAGGCCAGTAAAGTGTTGGAAGGATGGGATTAAAGAATACACAAATGAGAAAGGAATTGCAGAACACCTGGCAGGGAACAGAGATGATTGGAGGAGGGTAACACGTGTAATGGACGGCGACCCCTGCTAAAGGGAAAAGCCGAAGAAAAAGTGCTATCCAGTTATACTAATTACCTCTGAAACTACAGAGTTATTTAGATACTGTTCATTACTGCTGTGGACCATATATTTCATAATACTGAGTAATTTTATGTTTTTGCCTTCTACAATGCTCAGTGGAAGCAACTGCCCTCAAAAAATGGATAAAAACTACTCATTTTATACTTTAAAAAATATTCACAAAACTTCAGCAGTAATTACTGGGATTAATTGAAATATTAACAGTATATTTAGTTTGTACATGTGTGACTCATATGATGTTTGGTGCATAAATAGTCAAGAAAAATGTGGATAAAATCAGTGATGCAAAGATTAATTTACTGTAATAAGATTTTTCAGCATGTTAAGTTTATGGTGAGTACAACAAACATTCGTCTAACTCTACACAACATGTAAAATTTACCAAAACAAGACAGGAATCCACTAAGCAGAAGGTTCCAGAACGACCAATCCCAGCACTGCAGTGTACAACAACTGGGCCTACATTCTGATTCAGAGCTCCGGAGTCTCGGACGGCCAGGAGGAAACTGAGGAATGCTGAAGGAGACTCTGGTACTCCAAAATCTGGCCAAGTTGTATAGTGAAAGTGTAACACTGTTCTAGATTCATAACTCTATACAAAAAAAAACAAAGCATTTCTTCATTTAAAATTACTACACAATACGACTGAAGTTAAACTTAGAAAACAGTTATTGGACATTTTAGCAGTATTTAAACATTAATCCTTTCAGTACTGTATTGTATTCTTAAAATAGAAATGATATAAGTATGTATAAATAACCTAGGATACACCAAAAGGACTGGAGCATCACATTCAAAATACTTTTATTGGATACGTGGGTCCCACCAGTCCTGCACAAATATATGCTTAAACAAATACAAACCAAAAGTACCAAAAAGGGTTAAAGCTTTTTTTATTTTGATATGAAAGAAAAATAACTTAACAAAAACTCCGATGTAAAAAAATCTAATGCTATGATATCCTAAATGAATTTAATTTGTAGTTTTCCTGTTAGGAGTTCTCTTCCACTGAAAATATAATGGTCATATACATCTGTTGATGCTGTGTTGATACAGCAATCATAAGAAAAAAACAATAATTTACAGAATTAATGTCACTGTTTGTTCTTGATGAATTATCGATTCAGTTTAGACTTTTCCGAACAATTTAAGCAGGGTTTGAATGTGGTAAAAATAGTCGTGTGAATCATTGTTAAAAAATAAACTGAACTTACAATGATCCTAAATAGACAAATAAATTGATTTATAAATATATTTGCTTGTACAGAAATTTTAATATATTTTAGCCTTTTAACTATACTGCTGAAATCTTTTGAATGTATCTAAATACATAAACACTAGTTTATATATATATTCAGGAATATTGATCTTATTGAAAAACAACTAAACACAAAAATAGAATGGAACTACTTACCTCTAGGTTTGTAAGAAGCAGTTCTCGGATGATGTAATCTGTAGCTTCTTTTTCTCCATGAATACTGACCTTAAGGTTAACTTCTTTGAGTATCATTTCCTCTTCCCCATCATGCTCATTACCAAGAGGCCAGTACTGATGGCACTTGACCTAATAAACAATAAAAATAATTAAAACAATTTAACTTTAAGTCTAAAAATGTAAAAACAATATACATATATAGTGAAATAAACAAATGTCTATCAAGCTCTCTTTCTATTCTACATTTTTTGTTGCCTTGTTTACTGTTCAGGATTAATTTAATGAATTAAATACAAACATTTACAGACATTTTGATGATAATTTTCTTTTAAATAATCTTTTGTAGATTACATAAAAGCTTTGACAAATGGCTAATTTTTCCAGTTTGGTGAGTCAACATGAATCAACTAGTAACATTGTCTTGATAAGTTTTGTTGAAAAAATCAATGAAAAAGATGAAGAATCTCGGACTGCTTTATGAACTCAGCAACCTTAACTTGATTTCTAAACATACATGTTTAGCTCAAATCAATCCATTCAAACAATCATTGATTATTAAATTATACAGATACTCTCTATGCAACCAACATTTTTTATTTAATGAAACCACATTGGAAGTGCAGGATATATATATTTCTTTTTACATTTACAATACACTTTACTTTCAAGAGTGTCGATTCTTCAGTGATTATCCACTAGGATGAAAAATCATTGAGAAATCATTCAGCAAACAAATAAACAACAATGTGGAAAAAATAATGATGTTTACTCCAATGTTTTATTACACTCTCCTGCTTGAAATAATATTGAGATGGTTTATTAATAAAAATTAAGTTAGTTTTTCATGTGTGTTTTAGCTAGCCTGAGGGAAGATGTTCCATGTTTCAGTAATGGCTGAAAGTGTGTTTTAGCTAGTCTGAGGGAAGATGTTCCATGTTTCAGTAATGGCTGAAAGTGTGTTTTAGCTAGTCTGAGGGAAGATGTTCCATGTTTCAGTAATGGCTCCAACAACCACAGGACACTTCTGGTTGATGATATGGGAGCAGAAAACAAAAGCTGTTCTCATGCTGAATAGAATCATAGAAAAAAACATGGTAAGCACACCTGACAGCTATAGAAGAAGGAAGAAAAATAATTGTTAAAACTACAACTCCTTCCTTTCTCCCCAAGAGGAAGTAGTATTCAATTTTTTTTTATTTCAGCCATTACTGAAACATGGAACATCTTCCCTCAGGCTAGCTAAAACACACTTTGTGCCATTACTGAAACATGGAACATCTTCCCTCAGGCTAGCTAAAACACACTTTGCAACAGGGCACTTCTGGTTGATGATATGGACAACATATCACTTCTGGTTGATGATTTCATCCTGTTTGTTTCTTAGGGTCCACTGCCAACAACTACAGGACACTTCTGGTTGATGATTTCATCCTGTTTGTTTCTTAGGGTCCACTGTTGTTGGCAGTGGACCCTAAGAAACAAACAGGATGAAATCATCAACCAGAAGTGCCCTGTGATAATTGGAAGTGGACCCTAAGAGAGAGAGAGAAAAATATATATAAAATCATCAATGAGAATTGATCTGTTGTCCATATTAAGAACCTTAGACAATCTTTTATCCCTATCATCAACCAGAAGTGACAGTAGTTATTGGTAGTGGATCCTAAGAAACAAACAGCATGAAATACCTAACCAGATATTTATTATTGCCTCATATACTCAGTATTTTTTATTACAAAGAATGTCACTCATAACAACAAATATAATATTTTAATAGAAATACTGCTTTAAAATTACTTGATTATGTGTGTTAAATTGTACCAAGATACAAACACTTTCTTTAATGATTTAAAAACAAAATCCATTTTATGACATTCACCTTCAACAGGGGTCATGAACTACTTACATTGTAGGATTAGATCTACTCTTACTTTCTCAATGGTTGTTGGAAATACACAGGAGAAAACTTAACATTAAGTGTTTATCAGCTATTGGAAAAAAATATCTAAACAAGTATCTCTTATATAGTCTTATGAACCATGCAAGCACAGTGTAAATAGGATTTTGGGTTGTATTTACAAAAATATTATATTTATGTTTAAAGACATTTTCATTTTATTTTATAGTTCACTGGTTAAGCTTCATTTGGAGTAGTATGTTCAATCTCGGGCTCCTTAAATTAAGAAGGACATTTACATATTAGAGAGGGTTTAAAAAAAAAGGGTTACTAGGATGATACCTTGGATCCAAAGGTTATCATACAATGATAGGTAAAGATAGTTGAAATTGTTTTCTCTTGAAAAAAAAACAGTTAGAGGGGACCTGATTTATGTGTTAAAGATTATTATGGAAATTGATAATGTCGATGCATCATTTTTTTTTTCTTACTTAACGGTGAGAATGATAGGACTAGGGGAAGTAGATGTGGCATTAGGAGTCATCTTCAGCTCATATAGTTTTTATATTCTAACAGGATAACCAGACTTTTGAATGAGTTGCTTTTTATAGGAGGTGGATGCAGTATATTTAAGGGAGTTTAAGGAAAGGCACCATAGATATTTAAATGATCAAGGCTGGATTTGAGTTCTTGTTTTTTAAGAGGATGGGACAGTCTTGATGGACCAACAGGCTCCTTGTCTTCCCTAAATGTTATGTTATGAAGACAGAAAAAATATAACATTAACCACAAGTGCTTATTAGCTACAAAAAAACAAGACTTGGGAAAAATAGAGATAAAGGCAACATTAACATAAAGTGAACTGTGATAACTGACAACAAGTCATCAATTCAAATAGATTAAAAAAATAAGTTAAATCAATCATTCTAGGACTATATAAAAAAAAATATGTAGCTCAAAAAGTTACCAAAAGAACTTTATATCAATTAGCAATGGACTCAAAAACAATACTGATGTCAGCAGCCAACTGTAACTACAACTTATATTAAACTTAAATACTGACCACCACTCACAGACAACTAGGACTTCAGCTTTGTTCTTGTAGCCAGTACAATTACAAGAAATTGTATAATTATCATAATTTATGGTTGGCTACAACCACAATTTGACTCTTACAACCAGCACAATAATGCAATATCTCTTATATCCGAAAAGCTGTTAAAATTCTACACTAATAATAAAAATTAATAATAAATTGTCTAATTAGGAGTAACAGGAAAACTACAAAAAACTTGTATGACAACTATGCCCTTGGTCATCAGCTGGGTACCCTTGCTGCTAGCAGTGTTTTTGGCCCTTAACTAAAGAACACCTTACAAGGTTGTGCCAGCTTAGCAATATTACCGAGCACTGCACCGAAACAAAACTATCATACGAAAAGCTTCATGTGCCATGCTTATCACATTTGGCTAATGAAGTTATTATTATTTAAGAAGTTTAATGTTATATATATTAATCTAGCTAATACTATCAATAACTAAAATACTTATTGCATTATTTATTACCATAAATTGCTATAAATTACAGAAACACACGAAAAAAACTTGTGTCATATTTAGTGTGTGGCAAGAAATTCTCAATAATGACCACCATTCATGGTTGGCTAGAGCTATAACTTTACTCTTACAAAACAAGTGTGCATGTTGACTACCCCCTTACAAAGCAAGTGTGCATGTTTTCTACCCCCTTACAAAACAAGTGTGCATGTTGACTACCCTCTTACAAAACAAGTGTACATGTTGACTACCCTCTTACAAAACAAGTGTACATGTTGACTACCCCCTTATAAAACAAGTGCACATGTTGACTACCCCCTTACAAAGCAAGTGTGCATGTTGACTACCCCCTTACAAAACAAGTGTGCATGTTGACTACCCCCTTACAAAACAAGTGCACATGTTGACTACCCCCTTACAAAGCAAGTGTGCATGTTGACTA